TACACACACACACACACAGGCAAAGAAAAAAAAAAGTCGCCATTTGGACTTAAATGAGCAAATACTAAAGAGTCTAGGATTACATCATTATTGCAGTGATTAATATGTTTCTGGCATGTTGTGTGTTTTGTGTTTGTCACCAAGTCTTTTAACCATAATTGATGCATTGTGTAGCTTTTCATTTCTTAGTAACCACGTCTTACTCAACATCTTAAACCAACAGCAGTATGGCACTTGTGATTGATGGACAGACATGAGTTGATCAGAAATGGTGACGTCACAATTGTCTCGATTTCAAATCCCGGCATTTCAGAAGGGTAGAGAAGAATAATTCATTTTTTAAACTGGGCAGTTAGTTTTAAGTTCTGAAACTTGCAGCGTTTTTATTGTAGAGTGACCTCTCATAGCCTATGTGTCAATATCAAGAACATATTCATTCTCCATTTCATGACCCCTTTAAATATTGTTAAATATAAAAAGTTATATAAAGTAGGTAAAGTTTATATATCGCAATTGTGATTTTTTTCTCAGAATTGCAAGAATATCTCGGAATTCTGACTTTATAACACGCAATTGGTAGTTATAACAAAGACTATAAGACTAGTCCCTTGTATAGATTTGAATGGGAGAAAAATGCAACGCTCAATATGGCCGCTCTATCGAAAGAAGTAAAAGAGCCAATCGCTAATCGGTAAAGTCATCGTGTCACTGCAGCTGCCATTAGAAGTCCCGGTTGCTATAGAAACAGTCAGCGTTCTGAGATGTGCGCTCAGGACTGCGCATACGCATTGGCTGGTCTAGCCTGAAAAATAAGCTTTTTTTAATGCTATTTGAGAAAAAGAACTGGCCACCGAGTGAAATGCCTTGGTTATAAAGTCAGAATTGTGAGATGTAAACTTGAAATTGTAAGAAAATACAAACAAGCTAGTCAGGAGAGTAGATTAACGTCAGTGGACTTGAACTTGAAAAATGGTGTGTACTGATGTATTTCTGCTGTTGAAACAAGATACCTTCTGATGTTCATTCATGTTTATTTTGTGCTATAACTAGTGAACTAAGAAAATGATGTGTGGCGTGAGAGCGCCATGGCTTGTCGGACGTAGCAACAGTAACTAAAAAAGGGCCGGGTCTTTACGAAGGGTCAATTGCGAGTTTGTATCTCACAACTCTGAAAAAAAGTAAGAATTGCGAGATATGAACTCGCAATTGTGAGAAAAAAGTCAGAATAGCGAAACTCGCAATTGCGAGAAATAATATGTATCTCGCAATTCTGACTTTATTGCGAGAAAAATGTCAAAACAAAAAGTCGCAATTATATTTAAAAATTGTTATTTAGTGGTGGAAATGGGCTTCCAAAGGTTATAGACTTTTAAATATAAAAATAATCAGTAGCATATCCAAAAAAACTAAAAAACTAAACTATGTTGGTTGATCTCTGAATTTGACTTTGGTCTGATGTAGGACCGATGCTGATGATCACAGAGTACTGCTGTCATGGTGACCTCCTCAACTTCTTGCGTCAACGAGCAGAAACATTTGTGAACAATGTCCTTGGTGTTCAGAGTTTCCCAGAGAATTCAAACCTCTACAAGAATGTGGCTGTTCAAAAGAACCATTCGACAGGGTATGTTAATGTGGCTAAATGTGCTGTGCTTGTAGTGTGTCTTTTATTGTCAATTATTTACACCTTCTTCTTATAGGATGACTTACTCTGGCTCAGAGAGCTACAAGGACGCACAATTAACACAGATGTCAAAAGACATTTGTCAAGGTAATGTAACAAAGGTAATACTCTTCTAAATATTTCCTGTGAAGAAATAATTTCAAAACTACAATTTTTGGTCTGTTTCAACAGAATCTTGTAATGAAGGAGGGAAGGATGCATGGTCATTGGATAATATTGATTTACTGAAATTCTCCTATCAAGTGGCAAAGGGAATGGACTTCCTAGCCTCCAAAAATGTACATTCTCTTGGTTATATACAGTGTTATTTTAATAACATTTAGATATTATTATAGTTTTTATTCATATTTTGAATTAGGCTTATATATATATATATATATATATATATATACTGTATATATATACATGAGCTGGGCTTGCTTATTTTTAATAACAAAAACAAAATTTATATTTTTGGCAACTGTAAAGGCCCTTTTACACCAAAAGTGAAATTAATAAGCCTCAGCCTGAAGGAAGTGCCTCTGCACCGCACTTCCAATTTTTCTCTACACGAGGACAGGAGAGATGTCAGTGAATAAATGGGAAAACAAAGAAACTTGCGTTACTTATTTGAAAAAGTAATTTAGATATTTTCTTGTAAGTTTAAAAGTAATGCGTTACTTTGCTTGTTACTTGAAAAAGTAATCTGATTACGTAATTCATATTACTTGTAAACCGTAAACCATACAGTATAAGTAATTATGAGGAAGATTTAGTGTCATTGTCATTTTCTAATGCTGTTTATGATCAGTGTATTCACAGAGATTTGGCTGCACGGAATGTTCTTGTGGCCGACTGCCGCATTGTCAAGATCTGTGATTTTGGCCTTGCACGAGACATCATGAACGACTTGAATTATGTAGTAAAGGGGAATGTAAGTTATTTTTTCTTGTATTCTTTTTATGAACAATTTAACAGTTTAGAATGTAATTGTGCATTCTGAATCAATACACCACTAAACCTCACAGAACACACACTGTTTTGAATTCAAACTAATCTTTTCATAGATTTGTGCCACTGCACACTATGACACTATGCTAAGTTTTATAAGAGTGAACATGCCACAAATCCCCAACTAAGATAACAAATCTAAATAAGAACAGATTCCAAAGTAGTCACTGTAAAAACCCCAAGGTATTGTTCACATAGAAAGTAAAGAAGATCTTAAAATTGTATTAATTAAAATCTTACTTTTAAAAATTTGTTTTAGTCTGCGGGGCAAGATTGGATTTCAAAGTAATTTCATAATTCAGGAGTAAAGACATAAGCATATAACATCATACAAAATGCACAGTAGTGTCTTTTTATGTCTTAAATGTAGCACACAGTATTTATAAATATTGTTCCCTTTCAGTCGGTCACTACGAGTCAACGTTGTGACCGACGAATTGGGATCTCAATTCGTCGGTCACGACGTGACGTCTCCGTTCCCTCCTTCAGGGAACGAGGGTTACATACGTAACCGAGACGTTATTTAAAAAAAAAAATTAAATGGTTTGAGTCCACAAAAAAAGAAAACATTTCTTGATATTAAATTAAACTCTAAATCCACTCAAATACTTTGTGTAGCTGAAACTTAACTAAATTGCAGAAAACAATTAAAATTAGAAACTTCATCTCAATTGATTTTTTGCAGTCAGCTGTTAAATAGTTAGCTAGCAATAGCAAAAACACACATGCATGTGCTAACATAATTAACATAGAGACAATCACTGCAATGTGATAGTGTATGGAAGCCAGTTTAAAACTTTTTTATCTCTTTTTATTCTAACTTTTTATTCTCTATTTCATTCTTTTTATTCTCGCAATTGTGAGTTTACATCTTGCAATTCTGGGATATAAAATTGCAATTCTGACGTTTTTTTCTCACAATTCTAACTTTTTTAGAAGTAAGAATTACGTGATATAAACTCACAATTGCGAGAAAAAGGTCAGAATCTCTATATATACATGCAATATTATATAAAAAATATTTGCAGAACCCAAAATATGGGCATAAATTAATATTGATATTAGCTACTGCTGCTCTGCATATTGTTCTGAAGAATTCCAATATTGCAAATTTAGCATGGATTGTTTGCTCGTTATCATTGTATTCAGAGTAGCAGTTGGTAAACATCTTTTTCCTTTTTCACATCTACTCTAAAAGTCATTCAATCAAAAAATGATCCTTTTTCTTTTTACATTGTGTTGTACTGGTTCTGCAGGCACGGCTGCCAGTAAAATGGATGTCACCTGAAAGCATATTTGAATGTCTTTACACCGTACAGAGTGATGTCTGGTCATACGGTGTGCTTTTGTGGGAGATCCTTTCCCTGGGTAGGTGAATTGACTTGTTTAACCTATTTTTTATATGTAAAAAAAAACTGAAAACGTAAAAAATTCTATAAATAGGATTTCATGAAGGCATTTTGTTGGCGTTACTGTGTTTTCTGTTTTTAGGTATGAGTCCTTATCCCAATGTTGTAATTGATGCACAGTTCTATAAGATGATTAAAGATGGTTATCACATGCCCCAACCAGATTTTGCCCCTCATGAAATGTGAGTTTAAAAGGATTTATACATTTTTGGGAAAGAAATAATAAGCAAATCTATATACATCAAGTGACTTGACCTCTTGTAGGTACACAATAATGAAAATGTGCTGGAGTCTGGAACCAACTCAGCGTCCGACTTTTGCCAACATCAGAGAACTTATTGCAAAGTTACTGCCAAATCAAACCAGCGAGGTGAGACACACTGTTAGAACCATTTCCTCTGTTGTAAAAGCAAGCAAAATGTAATCAGTTTTCTTGTATTTATCATTTGATTTTGTATTTTGCCAGAATGTACACTGCAAAAAATTACCGTGAATTTAATGGTAAAAGACTGTAAAAATGCTACAGTAAAAACCTGTTAAATGGTTAACGATAAATTCCCCTACACAGTGTAGTTTGGACTCCTTGCATAGGAATGTTAACTTGTTAGCGCAATAAGTTAATAAAAAAAAATAAATAAAAAAATAAATCTTTTACCTTATGCCTTTAACACATTTATGCAATTTGACATTATGATTGTGTTAATGTAATGTTCAGCATGATTTCTAAAAATATATTCTTTAGACCAATAAAGACCACAGAACTCAATAATTACACATCTGTTACTGATTACAGATTACACTGTGAAAACTGTAGTTAGTAGTTTACTCATTTTAGCTAATGTATTCTGACTACTTTTTTAGTTTACTTTTTATCAAACTTGTTTTAAACTTAACATCATAAAATGCATTAAACATTACATTAGTGAGTTGATAAATTAATATTAACTTCCTCAGAGATAAATATTATAATATTAAAATATAGTAAATATTTTATTTTAAGGGCTTTGGCTAACAAAAACGGTTGGGAACCCCTGCATTACATGAACAAATATTAATAAACATGAAAACAGGTTTGGTTTTTCTTCCAGTAACCAATAATCAAGTTACTAACTGGATATTATGATGATATTGTGTTTCTATACATCTCCAGTGTTTAGTATCTTGCATAATTATTTTTCATATGTGGTCTAATTGCTTGAGAAGTGATTTTTCTCCCTCAAATTCAGAAGCATGGCTTGCAAATTTATTTACATGAAAAGGACATTTTAAAATAGAAAAAAAGAAGAATTAGAGAATGAATAAATTATGAATAATTTACTGCCATTGTGTAAATAATATGCAATCATGTAATCAATAAAAAAGTAAATGTATTCGGATTATGAGCATTTTAAAATGTAATCTAATTACAAGTATTTAATTTTTGGAATCTGATTACGTAATCCAGATTAGATATAATCAGTTACTACCCAACACTGTACAGAGGCAATGTACATACACAACTATACTGGAAGACGAATTAAAATGAGTTATGCTGTACTTCCCACAGCGCTGTATGCAATCATACAACCATAGTAATAACTTATCAATACATATGAACAGCTGTATTTATGCAGGACGTAAAAGCATCTTCTCTTCAGCAGAACAATGAAGACATGTATCCAGAGTTTCAGAGGCACCTGATGAAAAACCTGTGTGACAGAGAGTCCGTCTGCAGAGACGAGGGCCAGCCTTTAATGACGAGAAGTTTGACCTAACACATGAAACTCAGACAAACTCTGACAGAAAAGGCCTTTCAATTTTTCATGTCTGTATGTAGAAGTAGAGCTAACAAGATGAGCAGAATTTCTATATACTGCTATGTATTTTGTCTTTTCAATGATGAATTTGTAAAATCATGCTGTATCATTTTGTGATTCTTTTATAGCAGATCATTTTCCTGATAGCCCACATGCCACACACATACATCTGCAATTACATCTGCAAGACGCATTTTTTAGAGTGTTTGCTCATCTGCAATACGTCTATAGGACGTTTCCTATCAGATGTCAAACAGACGTTTAGAAGATGTCTTTAAGATGTTTATTATTTAGAATGAATGTAAAACTGACATCTTAGAGACGTCTATCAGATGTTTGTGCGCAGCAGATGCTTTCCAGATGAAGAGATCTTTAACAGACATCTTGCAGACGTACGTGTGCTATCTGGGTTAGTATTTTACCAACTTTTTAAAACTATGGCAGCTAACGCTTTATCAAGCATCTTTTCTACTGTACTTCTGTTTTCAAATGTTTATTCTTTATTTGTGACATTTATTGTTTTTGTTTGCTTTGTAGATGCAGCAACTGTTTTTATTTTTTATGCATGTCACTGATTTTAATTTATATCTGGAACCAGTAAAACATAAGTAAACTACAGTAACATTTCATTCATTTGTCTTTCAAACTGCAAGTACATAACATATACGTTTTAAGCATTTCTAAATAAATCTGGAAAAAAAATAATAAGTGCGCCACAATTTTGGTAGCCCCATGTGAGTAAAAACTCTAACTGAAGTACATTTCTTTTCATATTGTACATTAAGTTCACCTTATGTATTAAGATTCTAAACACTAGTGGAAAAAATATCATGATTTTCCGTTTCACTTGGATATAAATATGAGGTGACACAGGCTAATTTCCTATACTCATTCATCTTACAGAAAAACCTGAGTATAGAGTAGCAAATGATGTGCAATGCAAGGCTGTTGAGCTGCACAAATCAGGAAATGGCTTAAACTCATTTATTAGGTCAATATTTAGTTAGTTTAAATCACCTGGAGACTTTAGGAATCGCGGACATGTGTCTATATTGACCTCATCTACAGTAAAAAGGATGGTTTGAGTGACCAAACATTGTCCAAAGAACAAAGCTGGATAATTTCAGACGTTAACTGAGTTTTAAAATTGTTAGAGAAAGTTGTCATCAAACAACAAGCTCAAGCACATAACCTTACTGTATCTTTAATGCGACAGTTTGCTGCCCACTGCTCCGGGTGTGTGTTCATGGTGTGTGTGTGTGTGTGTGTGTTCACTCACTGCTGTGTGTGTGCGCTTGGATGGGTTAAATGCAGAGCACAGATTCATGAGTATGGGACAACATACTTGGTCACACGTTCTATGGTCAGATAAGAATAAAAGCTTTTTGGAAAAAGGCTGTTTTACTGGTAACGTCAAAGTAATGGCAAGAAGTATGTAAATAGCATTGAAGAGGTTTGCCTATGTCATGTAAACATTTGAATATACTTATCCATTACAGTAACTGTTTACTGTACACTTAAGGAAAACAGGGTTTTTGAAGAAAGCTGCATTCTGAAACATCATGCAAATGCTGGTTCCTTATAACTTCTGTTTAAAGAACCAAAAGAAAATGTAGTCTCTTTCAAGGAACGGCAGTTCACTTGACCAGCTCTATCAACTGAAATGAGGAAATACCTAAATATCAAAAACTCACATGCCAAAGATATTTCAAATCAGCAACAAAAACTGACACAAACTGTCCCATAAATGTTGTTTATGCTCAAATTTAAGAAAAAGTTGGTACATATAGGCCTATCCCAAGAATGCTTACTTACGGTAAGTGGTCTGATTTTTCAGTGCAAAAGCACCTAATCAGCATAATCACAATGAAAATGGATATATCTTCTTTAAGTTGTTGAGTTTGGTCATGCTAAAAGTGTCACAGTATTGCTATGATCTTGATAAATTGATCCTCTGACTCATAAAAACTGACTCTCACCGGCCAATAAAAACGCTAATGTTAAACATAACTTTAAAACAAACAGCTTTAAAACAAATATCTTGATGTCTTTTGTGGCATTGTAGCTACTAATTGGCCGTTTTATTTATTTTTTAACCTGAGAATACATATAAAAAATAAGCTAATTTACATTTAATACGAATCTGCAGCAGTCACTGAAAATATTTGATGCGTGGTGGGCGTGGCTTGCCACAGAAACGTCACACGTCGTACTGTCAGCCTGGCTGTCGCTAGGATACCGTGGTTGCCTCCAGTTCCGGAGTTTACAGTACAAGTTTACGGTGAATCGCTTTTTTGATTGAGTTATGGCTAGGGTGACCATATTTTAGTTTTCCAAAAGAGGACAGTGGGGGGCGGGGTTCGTGGGCGGGGTTTTGCCTAAAAGTATACATAGCAAGTTTTTGTGTGTGTGTGTGTGTGTGTTTGTTTGCTTGTTTTGTTTTTATAATAAATAAAAAGAAAATAAGTAGAAAGAATAGAGAAAGAATAGAGAAAGAATAGAGAAAGAATAGAGAAAGAATAGAGAAAGAATAGAGAAAGAATAGAGAAAGAATAGAGAAAGAATAGAGAAAGAATAGAGAAAGAATAGAGAAAGAATAGAGAAAGAATAGAGAAAGAATAGAGAAAGAATAGAGAAAGAATAGAGAAAGAATAGAGAATGCTAGTGTTAAAGGCTCTTTTTTTCTTTTTAAATAAAACAAGTAGTTAGCGTAGAAATAGAATAGAGAGTGCAAATGTTAGAGGGTCAATTTTTTTTATAAAAAAAAAACAAGCAGATAAAATTAAAATTAGCATTAGAATAGAGAGTGCTAGAGTTAGAGGGTCAAATGAAGATGTAAGAGATGTGTTTTCAGCCGTTTCTTGAAAATGATTAAGGTCTCAGCTGCTTGGATTGAGTTGGGAAGGTCATTTCACCAGAAGGGAACAGTTAATGTAAAAGTCCATGAAAGTTTTATCATAGGTAGAATGCTAAATGTTTCAATACAAGCATTTCAAGCATTTCATATAATTTATACAATATTTCAAACCTTTAACCCACTTGGAAAAATCACCCCATGGCAACAGTTTAAAAGTAGCCCAATTCTGTGGCAAAAGAATTGGGCTACTTGGACTTGGGAGTCCACAAGGACTTGGCAACCCTGCATCCAACAAGAGCATTTTTGCTCTTGTAGCAATAGTATTTTGTTTTAATACTGTTTGAGGATGGCTTTTACATTTTCATACATACTTTTTTACTCCCTTTTTTAGTTGTAGTTATATTAGCGCAGCTCAATTATTCCAAATATTTTTGGCCATAACATTTATTTGCAGGAGCAAAGAGCTGGACGAGCTTCTTGCCAATCTCCTGCTCTACTTTTCTTGCAACTTTGAGAAGAGAGCTCTGGAGGAAAAACTAACGTTTGTCATAGAGTGAGTTTGAATTTAGAACCAGGCATGAAGCTATATTAAAAAATACATGCAATTATTAAAGGAACAGTGCTTAATTACTGAAATGGCATGATTGAGATGTGTATGTAAACGATTCAGCAACAGTTTTTTTAATCTTACTCATCTGTGACGACTGCTTTACCAGCGGGCCATCATTACTCAGTGACTCTGAGAGGCAGATGACTGCTAAGCTGGAGCTGGCACAAAAGCAGTTCGCCGTCTGTTACTTCAGAACCACACTTCTGGCAGGTCAGAACAGTGTCCGATACCATACCTGCCATATAAATTATGTGTTTTTCTGCTATCTAAAATTGAGAGTTTACCCAAAAATGAAAATTTGCTGTTTTTTTTTTTATTTACCCTCATGCCATCTAAGATGTAGGTTACCTTCTATCTTCAGTAGAACAGAAGATTTTGAGCTGAAACCGTGGTTCTTGGTGATTCATTAAATGCAAATCAGCAGCAATGTTTTTTGAGATTTAAAAAAAGCAACACAATATTAATACCTGTGGCTCCTGACGATATATTGAGGTCTTATGAAGTGAAACGATCAGTCTGTGCAAGAAACTGAAGATTATTTACAACATTATTACCTGTAATCCAGAGCCTCAGGGAACGGGTATTACAGGTAATAAAATGATGTTCAGTTTCTTGCACACAACGATCGTTTCACTTCATAAGATCTCAATATATCGTCAGGAGCAACAGGTATTAATTTTGTGTTCGTTGATATGCTTTTTTTTATTCTCAAAAACGGGCAGCCACTGACTTGCATTAGATGAATTTCAGCTAAAAATCTTTACGTTTCGACTCAAGAAAAAAAGTCACCTACATCTTGGATGGCCTGAGGGTGAGTAAATTACAGAATCAATAAGAAATTCCAATCTGATGTGAACAAGAAGCTAATTGTTCAGAGATCTGAACTTATTGTTTCGGGAAAAAAAAGTTTCATTCGAGAATTGAGCCAAAGCAATTGAGAAAAACTGTAATGAGCTATGTGATGGATGATAGCATGCCTGATTTATGTCAACAGAATCAAGATGTCCTTAACCTCCTGGGGTCGAGGTGGCGCCGGCGGCACCACTTGCAGTTCAAGCCTCATAAGAGTTGTGCGTCAGATTAAAAAAGTGTGTCAGAAGAAAAAACAGCCATAAAAATTTTATAATATATAATAATAAAATAATAATTTAAGTAATATTTTCGCCCCAATTACACTGACATTGATTTTAGCCATTTAAATGTTAGTTTATTAGAGATTATTACAGTCTTGGATAAATTAGTGATTAGAAACAACATTAATTTTGATGCATTATTATTATTATTTACTTTATTTATTTATTTTTTGGTGCAGTGTCATTTTTCTTTTAAAACTTCCATTCACACACGCACAAGTTTCTCAGCACACACATACAAACCACACTCTGATATCTATACCACCACACAATTATATTTACCCTACATTATTGCAATTCAGTTGGTCTTTTTTTTTCCAGCACAAAATAGCAATAAAACCAGTATTTGCTCCATAGGCCAAACCTGAGAAAATGGTGCTACTGTATCAGGTGGAAAATAGGAATTAATGAATGAATAAATACATACATACAAAATTTGAATCCCTGATAACAGAATTAAAGCCTTTAACAAAAAAGGTGTGGTTTTAAATGGCACTGGATTTAAATATTACAGTTTTAATTTGTGTCCGTGTGGACATTTTTGTTCTTAGGATCCCAAGTGTATTTTTTATTTATTTTTTTGTACCTAGTGTAAAACAGATTTATCAAAGGAAATAAGGGTGTATTAGACAAATGCTTTATTAATTGTATAATATCATTATTAGTATTGGATAGTAGGTCTGTAAAGCAAGAAGAGAGAGGGATGCAGGGGGTAACTACGTACCTCTGGCAATGCTGTGGATTAGGAAACAAGAGTCCAATTATCCCTAAGCAATGCACTGCTTCATAATGCCTTTCAAATGCATTGGATTAAAACCAAAACAAGACTTTTTTTTTTGTAGACTGTCATCAGTAAATGAAGATAATGGCTACTCAGAGAAGGCTAAGGAATTAGGACAAACAGTCTTATTCTCTATGACACTGTTTACCACTTGGCCAAAGTTTCTTGGGTTTGCATTGAGAAATAATTTATACTGCTCTCGATTCAGCAGGTAGCTTCACTCATTAGTGCATGACTGCATTTTAGGACCAGATTTCACTGCAGTTCATGGACGGTGTTAAAAAAATAAATAAAAATAATTATATATATATATATATATATATATATATTGTAAATTATTATTTACAAAATAGCAATTTAAAATGTGTTTTATACATAACTATATGCATATTAACTTTTGAGATAAAAATACTATTTAATTTGTAAATATTATTTATTATTTTATTTGAAAAGTAAGGGAAGTAACAGGAAAGAGGAGGCAGTCATGACCAGATAAAGAGTAGGAAACAATTAATTAAATACTTCATATTATAGTAGCATTTAGCTGGATTTTGTGAACATTATCAAATACCAGAAACTAGAGAATGTGCAGGAAGATTAAAGAAATGGAAAGCATAGAAAGAACTGGAAGAATTTTCCCCATAGTGTTGCTGCTAGGCTGCGATGAGCGATCGGTTTGTAAAACCAGGTAAGAGAGTATAGAAATAATAATACATGTTTATCAAACTTGTGATTTAGATCTTACGCGTGAAGAGTGATGTTGTCATCACTGTGTTTCGTCACTCTCATTCATTCCCGCATACATTCATTTGGAAGTTTTCTTGACATTTCCTGGGAGCTGTAAACTATGACTAATGCAGAAAAGCGCGATAGAACAATAACCAACCTAATACTGACTGACTATTAAAGAAATGAGTGTTTCACATCTGACAGCTCATGTTCTGAGACGTGGCAGCTGCTCTGCTGTTAATTAAACGACATGCATAGGAGTCTGGACATACATTTCTAGACCTCAGCAGGGCTGTCAGGTTATTTAAAAAATAAATAAAATAAAATACAAAATCCAGGCTAACCAGCCCAACAATTATTGCGACTCCCACCCAGGATAAAGGAAAATAGTGTTGCTTTAAACTCCTTTTAATGTTGTTAAAGCATTAAAAAAGTATCGCCCTCTATATCTTTTAATCCAAGGAAAATACATTCCATTGTCACATTTGAAGAAACTTCAATTATTTACAATAAAACAAAAAAAAAAACATTGACATTATAAATCTAAATTATTTGATCTCTAGTAGACTATTCCGTCCATATTTTGCCTAAATGTAGGCTACTATAAAATTGTACATTTATTTTCTTGCCCCTGAAATACATTTTTGAACGTATTTTTGTAAATGTTGAAACTAAATATATTTTCATTTTCAAAAATATATTTAATTGAGCTTCACTGAATACAGCATATATTTATCATATATGCTTAAAATACGTTTTGAAGAAAATTAGGCTTAAGCAGAGGCGGGTGGAGTTGGAGAGCTGGTGTTTGGGCCTGGGCTTTTCATGTAAAAAATTAAGAGAAATAATTTAGAGATTTGGTAATTTTTTGGGGAAAAAACCCTCTAGACACCTTAAAATTACCTTGCACACCTTTAGAAAACATAGATGGTTAGATACGGTATGCGAGGGTCCGCGCTCACTCATAATGTTGCTTTTTGCGCAGGTAATCAGCAGCACGGATGGAACGACCCACCGCAGTTTTCATATGGCTTACAGAAGGATTCAGGTGGACTAAAGCGAAATATTCTCAACAAGAGAGTGCATGCGCTGCAATTCACAGGTCAAGCTCATCCCACTGTTAAATGTGATCATCTGTCTTGATTCACCTGTTAAATGTTTGCAGCAAATGACAAATTGTATCTTTGCCCAACTGTTGTACTGTATGGACAACTCGGTTTTAAAGTTGGTTGCATGACGATTTTTAGTTGTCCTTTATTGATAGATTGATTGAACGATTACCTCTATTTATTGGTATTGCAAAACCTTTTTTTTTTTTACTTGCTTTAACAAGTGTTTTTTTTATAATTGACATACTGTTATAGTTTTTATTAATATTTAGAATTTTTATTTTTATATTTTCTGTTTTCATTATAGTTTTAGTATTTTTTATTTTTTTTTGTAATAAAAAAAAAATGTCTACATAGTTTTTATTTATTTACAAAAGCACATGTGCAAATCAGACGGACATGAATGTGGCAGATTTGTTTTCTTGCCGAAATGTTTAAGCATATGACCATCTGGGCTCTGGAGGAAATGTTATTCTAGCCATTACTGTTCAGAATATAAGCAAATATGTAAATTAGCTTATTATATGGCCTTCTGGGTGAATTTCAAAAAAATGTTAGCGTCTGTAAATGTGTCTTCCACAGAAAATACATATTAAATTTCAAAGTTGCAAGTGTAAAAATAAAAAAAAAAGAGATGCAAAAATGTAATGTTTTTAAGTGTAATTCATCTGTGACTTTACAACACTATAACACAAATTGATATGAACACAAAATGAATTATAAATGGTTTGTGTTCCCACTGTAGATTCTGGATCAGAGATGCAGTCCCCACCAGTGACGAGGCTAACGCCGCCCCGGGGAATGAATCCTCTGATGGACAGCAGCACCCCACCGTCCGTATGTCCAAAAACTCCCTCCGGTGGAAAGATGGAGGTGGTAGAGACAGAGCCATCCATTGAAGATGTGCAAGAACCACTCCATGGGGCGTTGAATGCATGCAGACATACTGTAAAGGTAAGGTCAATGTTGAAATGCTCAAACTGGTGGAGGTTCAAGAGCCTGTAAGGTTCAACCAGTGGGAAACAGACATAATGAAAATAAGTTTCAAAATAAAGATTTTTTGTTAAAGTTTTAACAATCTAAAACAACCCATTTGACACTAAGGATGTATTGTGAATAAATGGAACCAGGGTTATTATAGTTTAACTAAAACTAAAACCATAAAAAATGTTAACTGAAATAAAATAAAATAAATAAAAAAAACTTATTTCAACTAGTTATCAATGCAACATTTCTCATTTTCATTTAATTTAAATTGATGCACTAAAAAAAACAAAAAAAGAACATAAATCTGTATAAAATGTTATATTTAAAAACAACAAAGACTAATAAAAATGACAAAAACAGTATAGATTTACTAAGATTTGAACTAAAATTAACAAAAGCAGAAAATATAAACTTAAAATAATTTCAAAAACTATAATAGTATCTCAATGATAATAAAATAACACTAAATGGAACTAATGGATCAATCACATAACATACAACAAATATTTAAAGTTGTTACAAGGGAAAAAAAACTCTCACACCTTGTAACAGGTCCTCATTTAATTCCAAACCCTATAAAGAATATTATAGTTATTAGAACATTTTTTTTTCTTGCCATTATATTTATTTTTACTTGCTAGAGTGGAGAAATGGAAATTCATGTTCCTGTTGTTACCTTGTGTTGTCACTGATTTTTTTTAGAAACAAATTTGTGATGATGTGGAAAGACGTCTGAAGCTTTCTTAGGACATGTGGAGAAGTGGAAATCTTTCACCTTTGGTCAAACACAGGATGCATAGATTGTCCCAAGGTGAGTCTTTTTCAGTCTTCAGAGTTTCACCTTCACGCACTGGTTCTGTCATAAAGAATTGCAAAATAAGTTTTTAAAGGAGTCATGAAATGGAGAATGACAATGTTCTTGATATTTACACATATGAGAGGTTACTCAAGTTTCAGAACTTAAAGGGATAGTTCACTAATTACTGTCATTAATTACTCACCCTCATGTCGTTCTAAACCCGTAAGACCTCCGTTTATCTTCGGAACACAAATTAAGATATTTTTGATGAATTCCGAGAGCTCTCTGACCAGTGTATGCTATTCTGTGTCAGCTGCATCACACAGATACGTTATTTTCTTTCAAATCAAAGCGTAAACAATAGGGTTGTCAAAATGACTGAAAAGCTAAATTCGAATTTTCTACTTAAATATTATCAAAATTCTAATTATATTCGAATTTAAAAGGCATAATTTCAGGTAGGGGGAAAAAGAGCTTTTGACTTCTCTCCTGAGGCCACAAGAGGGCGCATCGAGCAAAATATTATGCACGTTTCTTCAAAGCGTAATAAAATAACACGACTATCTTTGAAAAAAAGTGCATAATGTTTAAAATAATGTTTATAAACCATATATAATTAATAAAGTTCTAAAACAATTAGAAAAAAAACAGCACCATGCATGTATGTATAGTTTAATACAAAGGACCGAAAACCAATCACAAAGAGTAGCACTTTCTTCATTTAAAAACATGAGATACAGTGGGATGGGGGAAACCGCCATAACATCTTTAGACATGTTTTTTAAAAGTTGAACTAACATTAATTTTACATGGCTTTCTAAACATTGTGCGAGACGCGAGTGCAACGCTGATAGATGTCCCTCTAGAAAATGTGATAAATATGTGTTCTGTGTGAACGGCTTGGTTTCAGTTTTGACGTAAACAACATCTTCTCCACACTGATGCTCTCGTTTTCTGCAATATATTGAATGAACAACGTAGCAGCGCCGCATCTAGTGGGTTCAACTGGATAGGCTAACAAAAGCATTCAAATGCAATCAATGACACTTACATCGTCGTCGCATTTCGTGCGCCACTGATAAGCTGCCTGACGGCTGACGCAGACCTTAAATTCAAATGCAACGTTTTTGCATTCGAATGTGGATTTTTTTTTTAAATTCGACGAATATTCGAAATTAAATTTTTTTTGACAGCCCTAGTAAACAACGTGGAAAACGTAACGTATGACGCGCAAAACGCCACGTGACGCAGCTTGGATCATGGTAATTACATTGCTGTCTATGGGAGGGTCAGAGAGCTCTCAGAATTCATCAAAAATATCTTAATTTGTGTTCCGAAGATGAACGGCGGTCTTACGGGTTTAGAACGACTTGAGGGTGAGTAATTAATGACAGAATTTTCATTTTTTGGGTGAACTAACCATGTAATTTGTTTAGACTGCTGTGGTCTATCTTGATAAAAGTTGACACAAGGAAAAACATGCTAGATGTGTTTTGTTTCAGACCTGAAAAGAAAAAACTGGGATGCAGTTGATGAGATCCACAGAGGCCTGATGGTGGATCATGTTGCTGAAGTCAGTCAGTGGATGGTGGGAGTCAAGCGTCTCATTGCTGAAGCTCGGAGCCTGAACCCAGAACAAATCAACAACTGCACCGATCCATGCTCATGAGATCTGTGTGATGTCCATTCCTTTGAAAACCCATGTTGCTTTATATAAGTTGCCAAAGTGATGTATTAACTTATGTTAAGTTTTGAATAATCCACCTTTAAAAATGTACCCATTCTCATCAACATCCTCTAATATTACTTCTTTTTTGTAGGGTGGTGCTGGGGAAGAGTGTTTCATTATTTTTCATCCTGATAGATTGAAAATAATGTAGGTATTAAGTATTACTACTGTATATAAAAATCTGCTTTTAAAAAGGAGGTAATTGTCAATTACTTCAGCCAATTTAGCGCACACACACACACACACACACACACACACACACACACACACACACGTATAATAATCTCAGTGGCTATCTTCGAATGTTCTCTTGAAAAAGCTGTCCATTATGATGTGCAATATAATAGGCAAAAAACTAGCCTCAAACTGTTGTAGCCTTTATAACATGCATAGCTCAAAACAACAAAAGTAAAAGCCTTCTTAGATGTAAATGCATTCCATGACATGTGCAATGACATTTAAGCCACACTTAAAATATTTAATTCTTGGTATTATATTAAAACAAAGAATACCAATATAGTACTATTAAAAAAAGAGACAGTTTTTTGATTTTAGACCAAGTTATTAAGATAAGCAAAAATATGTTTTTCATATTTCCTAACCAGTAGGTGACACTGTTCCGAAACTGTATTGGTACATCAGAATCAGAAAGAGCTTTATTGCCAAGTGTGCTCACACACACAAGGAATTTGTCTTGGTGACAGAAGCTTCCAGTACACAGACAGGTTGACAAGTGACAAGACACGGATAACAAAATAAAAATGAGTGAGTAAAAATAAATATGTAAAAAACAATAGACAAAGAGACAGTAAACATGTACAGATGTGCTATATACAGCTATATTCAGAGCTAGGCATGTCAAGGAAACAACATTTCACTGAAAGCTATTTTTTTGAGATATCAACCTCAAATTTGGAACACAACTAGATTAGATTTACAGTATGGCTTTGATTTTTACACGGTTTTAGAGTAATTAAAATTTTTGTGCATTCTTCATAATAAGAAAACTAAACTTCTAGAACTTGTTTCTTCACATTTTTTCACATAATAATAGCAATAATCTGTCAAGTCTGTGCTGAAAAGCATTCAAAATTGACAACATTTTCATTTGGAAATTTCATTTTCAGGTCTATGCTCAAAACGTGATTAACAGGTAATAAATGGATTATATCTATTCCATAAATATCATTTAGTACCATAAATCCTCTACAGATACAAAATATTCAATAGAAGACATTATTGAAATAAAATATAGTAGCCTATATTCATTTCACTGAAATTAAAAAGCTTTGTGTCTCTCATCACTAGTGTAACCCCGTTTCATGCCGACTTTAATAGCAACATACACTCCTGAAAACGTGTCACCAACCGAGAATTTTTAAGATCATCGGCAACAAATACACAATGACAGCTACAACACTTTGTAAAACAGTTTTATTTATAAGCCCGGTTGCATTAGAGCCAAACTGCAAAAAGTACATTTTACTCAGAAAACAATATCGTACCCACCCACTTTTTGACAATAAAAACAGCATGCCTCAACAAAACACAGTATATGTGTCAAAAACGATCAAAAGATGCTCTTAGGCCTTTCATAAACTGTGCTGAAACGATAAAGAAGACAAAAACACCAAAAAGGCCACAAAGCAACTCTCTTTCAGTAGCCGTTTACAATGAACCACGTTACTAGAAGACATAGAAAAGGTTTCCATGCATTTTATTTCTTTCAATTCTAAAAGTCTTTCTAAGGAGTTAATTAATGAGAAAATGAAGAGGAAAACTTTGGTTCTGTAATGACAATTGTATAATAATTCAATATTAAGAATGGATCTTTGTCAAATGTGCCACAAGTAGCCTAAAAGTGTTTAGATATAACCAGAAAAAGAATAGTAAAGATTACAGTTTGTTGTCTGTTGACGATCCAACCGGATGAACAGCAGCTTTTATACAGCCATGGCAAAATATTTGATAAAATGAATCAAACAACATAAAAATTGTGCATGCAGTCATCAACATTCTTGCTTTACAAAATAAATACTAAGAATCAAGAAGCAAAATTTGATATAAATCTGACTAATAAAAATCTAACTGGTTTAGTAAATCTGAACACATGTTATTAAGCTGTGCATATAAGATGCGAAAAACATTTTAATATACCTTACAAATGTTTAGATAAGACAGAGATGCAGTTGCTCTGCAGATAACAGACATTCACCAGCAACAGTCTGAATACAATATCAATGCTAGGTCTTTTTGAGCATCACTATATAGAGTTAGCAATGTCCACTTTCTCATTTGAATTACTTTGATTGTTCGTGTTAATAAATATGAATGAATGAACTTGTTGACCGTCACAGAAAGACTGATCAAGCAAATAGAGCATTTTAAAAAGACATCAGTAGATAAACACTTCAACACTGATTATTGAAAGTGCTCTCTCCAGCAACACGCTTCCATTGAATTTGAATAGAAGTTAAGCCCAGACATCAAACACACCCTTAAGAGCTGTTTCAAGAGACTTCCTTTTATAATAAAAAGAAAAAATCCCTGAATCCTAAATACAAAAGGAAGAACAAATATACCAGCCCTACTGGAAGAACTTTATCAAAGTGCTCTGAGCACACCACACCAGACCCGGATCTGAAAACCCTGTACGGCAGAAAGAAATATCAAGCTCTCGCATGCATTTACTGTTCCACTGCAGCTCTTGATAATGCCACCATCAGCACCAGCTTTAACTTTAAGCAACTGTTCGTTGAGTGGGTTGCTCAGCCCCCTTGATCCATCTGTTCTTGCAGTGCGGATCATGTGGGTTTATTAGATTGTGTGTGCGTGTGTTTTGAGCCATCGATGTAGCTTTGATTTCAAGGGCTAAGAGTATGCTGAAATTCACTGTTGTTCAATGCGGTTTAAACTCGGTAGAAAATGCTCAATGGCGATTGTCTGGAAATCGGGCAGTGGAGGACAAGTTGTGCTGATATCTGTCCAGTGACATTCACAGGAAACTTCATTACTGTATTCGTACCTAGCAGTTCTCCAGTTGTCACTTTATTTCAAATATATAAACAAGTACTTCTGTTTAGGGGTAGACATTAAAATAACACAGAGATCCATTTCAATCAGATTACATTCGAGTTCATTACAGGCACTAGAGAGAGCTGGAACTGTCTAACCGTTGAAAAAAGAAAAAAAATCTAGGTATCCGTGTCGTTTTTATAAAACGCAGGAAACAGGATCTCTTTTGGAATGTAGTAGCTGTCTTGAATATCTAATTTGTGTCAAATATCAGCAAATGTAGCACTTATGGTTAAAAACATGGTGGCTAATTTTGTAAACATAACCAAGATACTAAAAAAAAAAAACATTCCATACAGCAAGGTTGCAACAGCAAAGTGGCTTCATCATAGTTTATCCATAAAGAAGTGTTCTGAGCAATGAGAATAAATGCTAATGTGAATGTGATGACACTGTAAAGCAGAGGGCCAATGAAGTTCAAGGAATGAGATGAGAAGCCGGGAGCTTGTACATCCTCAAGCCAGTGATCCTGCAACTCTGGTATTTTCAACTAAGACAGAAAAAGAAAGCTAGTTCAGTATACAAAATGTTACAGAGCAAGTCAAAAAATTTACTTTTTTTTTTACAAATATAATTCACAAATATGTTAGAAAATTCTGGTCCTGGAGAGTCACTGCAGCATTTAGCTCCATGCTTGATCAAACACTTCCCTGTCATTTTCAAGAAATCCCTATAGGGTCTGGTTGCTAGTGACGTCACTTGCAATTTTTTTTAAATTAATTTATTTTATTTTAATCTCTTAACATTTTACAGCAGCAGCCATTTGGTGAAGACAAGAAACAAATATTTATACAAAATTATAATGTCACTTGCACTTGCCACCTGCACTCTCCGCTACCTGCGACATCACTTGGAATCGACACAAATCTTGCGCTTTGCCAATGGAGACAAGACGCTGTGGTGGTTAAACAATTAAAAGTAATTTAGTACTATAACATACAGAGTCCTGCAAGTCACCTGTAGGAGAAAAAGACATGACCCGCAAATCTGTGGCCACAGAACAGCAGAATATGAACGCAATGCGCAAAGTTTCTCATTAAGTATTTTACTACCGTAGAAAACCATTAAAGGGGTCATATGACGTTGCTAAAAAAGAAAATTATTTTGTGTATTTGTGTAATGAAATGTGTTTATGCGGTTTAAGGTTCAAAAAACATTTTCCACATACTGTACATTATTATTTGTCCTCTATGCCTCGCCTTTCTGAAACGCGTCGATTTTTACAAAGCTCATCGTTCTGAAAAGCGAGGTGTGCTCTGATTGGTCAGCTATCCAGTGCGTTGTGATTGGCCGAATACCTCAAGCGTGTGATGGAAATGTTACGCCCCTACCATACTGTGATGCCGTGTCCCGGCGCGACGAGACAAAACCAATAAAACCCATTATAAACGAGGCATTTGTTGCATCCAGTGGGGACATAATTACTGATTATAATGACTTATACTGTCTTTTTATGCGTTGCGTTGCATCGCGCCGCGTAAACATAAAACCATGTCTGCATTTGCGATCGGAGAAACGACAAACAACAAGCGCTACTCTACACTGCTCAAAACTCGCGTTTGAATCGTCAGTGGCAAATCCTTTAAATATGAAAACGTACTTACAGGCTGTGAGTCAGCATTATTTGTCAGCATCATAGACTGTATAGGGTCAGCATGCGCGCCGCAGGGGAAACGGGAACTGAATTCATCGGAACACCGGCATTGTAGGCTACTCTCCTACATTGGAGGCTTTACCTCTGTAAAATGCATTGCACACATCTGAATATTTGGTTTGAACTGTTCTGGAACAGTGTTGTAAATACAACTTAACCACTGATTTCTAGTTGTGTCCTCTTTTGGAAGACCAAACAAAGTAGTTTCGCTTTCACAATGAAACACAGCATCTCCACGACATGGCGGCGGCGGCAGCAACAATACTACAGCGAGAATCAAAGTTACGCCTTCTTTCTTTGATTATACATTTGGGCGGTGTTATGCAAACCTTCCCAAACAGTGATGTAGACATGTGGGGGTGTGTTTAAACGAGGCGTTTTAGGAGGGAGTGGACGAGTCTTAACTTTTATAAAGAATATCTCTTTGGGTTTGAGACTTTAGTCTTTGCAACTTTAGGGATCTTATCTATTCATGAATCTTATCTTATCTATTCCTGCAATGTTTAACGAGACAT